AAAAAGGCATCAAGAACCCTGGCCTGCAGCTGGTGCAAGGTCATGACAAACATTTCAGGCTTGTGTGTTTACATTTGTATATAAACAGCCATACAGACCCTTTTCTTCCAGTGTGGCTTCCAGGTAAACAGTGTGAGAAAATGGAGCAAACTCATTCAGCACCAGCAAACCAAAGGTCAGGTGAAGAGAGTAGACTATAAATCCCATTCCTCTCTGTAGGGAAATGGAAAGATTAGCAGTTAAATTAAATATGCATTAATATTCTGCCCCCCAAGCTGAAATTAAATCTTACCGATTGTAGCACGGCAGGGTCTGTGAAGGGCACTTCAAGTGTAAAGACTTTCAAGCTGCTGTTAGGGGACACATGCTCTCTGATGTTAAAGCCTCTGGCATGGCACTGTGCTATAGTCAAAACCTCAGAGGGGAAGGTGATGTTCATCAGCACCACGTCAGGAGCAAAATGCCCAAGCACCAGCTTAAACACTTGCTGTTTCGGAACAGTCTCTGTAGGGATGAGAGAAGAGGAATTCAGTGAGCTTGCACTTTACACAAATAATCATAATATGATAAGTGGGATGGTGAGACTCGCCGTCAAAAACTTGAAGATTCAGTGACAACAAAGGCGTCGTGATGGGAAACAAGACTTTGTATCTTGTGTCTTCTCCATCTTCAGTCCAGAGCAACTCCAGCATGGGTTCGATTGTATAGGAGAGGAGATACCGATTTCCCTGGATATGGCTCTGTTTATCATTTTAAAACCAAGAATTTGTCATTATAACTACTCCTAATGGAACATATTTAAAAGCAGAACAAAAGCTGTAATAATTCTTTATAAGATTCCTGCTTTAATGCTTGTAGAGCAACTCTTTTGGAGGCTCAGCTTTGGAAATGGGCCCTCATTTCACAGTGAGAAGTGGCTTTTACTACTTTGCCATCTTAAAAGGCCAAGGAAGCCATTTATCAGTATATACTTGATGCAAATCTTGATTTCTTATAAAAACAACTGCCTTTCACCTTAAAGTATCCACCGTCGGCCCCAACAGGAAGCTGAACAATGATGTACGAGTCGTCAGTAGACAGCTTGGCCGGCATCCGAGTAGGATCAAGCGTCTGACCATTGATTCCCAAGTACACCTCCAAGAGCTGAACCCGCCCAGAGGACATTAAGGGGTCAATGCGTTGGGGCAGGCGCCAAGTGATCATGGTGGGCGTGAAGGAAACACTATGACCTGCACATAAGGCATAATATGAGGCCAAAACAGACACTACTATAGAGGATTTAGAGGCTACAAGGTCTGCTAGCAGACAACTTTGCTAACAGCTTAGCATTTCTAAACCACACATGCATACAAGTCTTCATATTAAACCTGGGACAGACAGCAAGTTAATATTTCTAAACGTCCAAATGCATCACCACCCTAGGAATAATGAAGACTAGAACAAACAAATTTGCAGATTTAACTGCTAAAGCCTTCAGGTTTTAAACACAAGATGACACAGGCTCCCTGCAGCTTTCACATGGTTAGAGTTTAATTACCGTCCAGCACTGGACAAGCAGCTACAGCATCAACTCGAGCAGTCAGCCACTGCTTCTCAAAGATAGTCGAGGTTTTGAACACCTTCATGGGCACCCCTGCTACCTGCAGGGTGAGATTACAATTTAATACATTGAAGATAAAGCATGTGTGCAAAAGAGCAGTTCGTTAGAATGTGGAAATGTAGGCTAATGGGCCATATGTACTTTATCTTGTCAAATGTCAGACCGTAACAAGTTTAAAAAGGTAGTCTGATCATATAATGAATCTAAATCCAATTGGTTACTGACTGCAAGTGTGAGCCATCTAATGGGCTACAAGTACTTTAACCAGAGTCTGTCTGTAGAACAAGATGCCAGGTCATGTCAGGCATGTGTGAAAAGCATGCGATCTGCAGTTTACTCACAGTCTGGGTGTACGTTGCCAGTGCAGACTTTGAACTCCGGAGAATCACCCTGGTGGGAGTGTTTCCTACCCCATACCCCCTTTGGTGGGCCTCAGTCGCCTTCATGATCCTCTCCTCAGGTGTGAAGAACACAACTGTTGTGATTATGTATCCTGCGTCTATGGGGCGTTTCTGTAAGGCAAACACCA